GTACAGTGTTGAGAGTCTGTGGTGCAGTGTTGGGTCTATGGTGCAGTGTTGAGAGTCTACGGTGCAGTGTTGAGAGTCTATGGTGCAGTGTTGGGTCTGTGGTGCAGTGTTGAGAGTTTGTGGTGTAGTGTTGGGTCTATGGTGTAGTGTTGAGAGTCTGTGGTGTAGTGTTGAGAGTCTACGGTGCAGTGTTGAGAGTCTACGGTGCAGTGTTGGGAGTCTACGGTGCAGTGTTGGGAGTCTACGGTGTAGTGTTGGGAGTCTACGGTGTAGTGTTGGGTCTATGGTGTAGTGTTGAGTCTATGGTGCAGTGTTGAGTCTATGGTGCAGTGTTGGGTCTATGGTGCAGTGTTGGGTCTATGGTGCAGTGCTGAGTCTATGGTGCAGTGTTGAGAGTCTGTAGTGCAGTGTTGGGTCTATGGTGCAGTGCTGAGTCTATGGTGCAGTGTTGAGAGTCTGTAGTGCAGTGTTGAGTCTATGGTGCAGTGTTGAGAGGCTGTGGTGCAGTGTTGGGTCTATGGTGCAGTGTTGGGTCTATGGTGTAGTGCTGAGAGTCTGTGGTGTAGTGTTGGGTCTACGGTGTAGTGTTGAGTCTATGGTGCAGTGTTGAGTCTATGGTGCAGTGCTGAGTCTATGGTGCAGTGTTGAGAGTCTATGGTGCAGTGCTGAGTCTATGGTGCAGTGTTGAGAGTCTACGGTGCAGTGCTAGGAGTCTATGGTGGAGTGTTGAGTCTATGGTGTAGTGTTGAGTCGATGGTGCAGTGTTGAGTCTATGGTGCAGTGCTGAGTCTATGGTGCAGTGTTGAGTCTATGGTGCAGTGTTGGGTCTATGGTATAGTGCTGAGTCTATGGTGGAGTGTTGAGTCTATGGTGTAGTGTTGAGTCGATGGTGCAGTGTTGAGTCTATGGTGCAGTGCTGAGTCTATGGTGCAGTGTTGAGTCTATGGTGCAGTGTTGGGTCTATGGTGCAGTGTTGAGTCTATGGTGCAGTGTTGGGTCTATGGTGCAGTGCTGAGTCTATGGTGCAGTGTTGAGTCTATGGTGCAGTGTTGAGTCTATGGTGCAGTGTTGACTCTATGGGCAGTGTTGAGTCTATGGGCAGTGTTGAGTCTATGGTGCAGTGTTGAGAGTCTGTGGTGCACTGTTGAGTCTATGGTGTAGTGTTGAGTCTATGGTACAGTGTTGAGTCTATGGTAAAGTGTTGAGTCTATGGTACAGTGTTGAGTCTATGGTGCAGTGTTGAGTCTATGATACAGTGTTGAGTCTATGGTGCAGTGTTGAGTCTATGGTGCAGTGTTGAGTCTATGGTGCAGTGTTGGGTCTATGTTGCAGTGTTCGGTCTATGGTGCAGTGCTGAGTCTATGGTGCAGTGATGTGTCTATGGTGCAGTGCTGAGTCTATGGTGCAGTGTTGACTCTATGGGCAGTGTTGAGTCTATGGGCAGTGTTGAGTCTATGGTGCAGTGTTGAGAGTCTGTGGTGCAGTGTTGAGTCTATGGTACAGTGTTGAGTCTATGGTAAAGTGTTGAGTCTATGGTACAGTGTTGAGTCTATGGTGCAGTGTTGAGTCTATGGTACAGTGTTGAGTCTATGATGCAGTGTTGAGTCTATGGTGCAGTGTTGAGTCTATGGTGCAGTGTTGAGTCTATGGTGCAGTGTTGAGTCTATGGTGCAGTGTTGAGTCTATGGTGCAGTGTTAAGTCTATGGTGCAGTGTTGAGTCTATGGTGCAGTGTTAAGTCTATGGTGCAATGCTGAGTATATGGTGCAGTGTTGAGTCTATGGTGCAGTGTTGAGTCTATGGTGCAGTGTTAAGTCTATGGTGCAGTCCTGAATCTATGGTGCAGTGTTGAGTCTATGGTGCAGTGCTGAGTCTATGGTGCAGTGTTGAGTCTATGGTGCAGTGTTGAGTCTATGGTGCAGTGCTGAGTCTATGGTGCAGTGCTGAGTCTATGGTGCAGTGCTGAGTCTATGGTGCAGTGCTGAGTCTATGGTGCATTGTTGAGTCTATGATGCAGTGTTGGGTCTATGGTGCAGTGTTGAGTCTATGATGCAGTGTTGGGTCTATGGTGCAGTGCTGAGTCTATGGTGCAGTGTTGAGTCTATGGTGCAGTGCTGAGTCTATGGTGCAGTGCTGAATCTATGGTGCAGTGTTGGGTCTATGGTGCAGTGCTGAGTCTATGGTGCAGTGCTGAGTCTATGATGCAGTGTTGAGTCTATGGTGCATTGTTGAGTCTATGATGCAGTGTTGGGTCTATGGTGCAGTGCTGAGTCTATGGTGCAGTGTTGAGTCTACGGTGCAGTGTTGAGTCTACGGTGCAGTGTTGAGTCTATGGTGCAGTGTTGATTCTATGGTGCAGTGTTCAGTCTATGGTGTAGTGTTGAGTCTATGGTGTAGTGTTGAGTCTATGGTGTAGTGTTGAGAGTCTATGGTGCAGTGTTGAGTCTATGGTGCAGTGCTGAATCTATGGTGCAGTGTTGAGTTTATGGTGCAGTGCTGAGTCTATGGTGCAGTGTCGAGTCTATGGTGCAGTGTTGAGTCTATGGTGCAGTGCTGAGTCTATGGTGTAGTGCTGAGTCTATGGTGCAGTGTTGAGTCTCCGGTGCAGTGTAGAGTCTATGGTGCAGTGCTGAGTCTATGGTGCAGTGTTGAGTCTATGGTGCAGTGTTGAGTCTATGGTGTAGTGTTGAGAGTCTATGGTGCAGTGTTGAGTCTATGGGTAGTGTTGAGTCTATGGTGCAGTGTTGAGTCTATGGTGCAGTGTTGGGTCTATGGTGTAGTGCTTAGTCTATGGTGCAGTGTTGAGTCTATGGTGTAGTGTTGAGTCTATGGTGTAGTGTTGAGAGTCTATGGTGCAGTGTTGAGTCTATGGTGCAGTGCTGAATCTATGGTGCAGTGTTGAGTCTATGGTGCAGTGCTGAGTCTATGGTGCAGTGTCGAGTCTATGGTGCAGTGTTGAGTCTATGGTGCAGTGTTGAGTCTATGGGCAGTGTTGAGTCTATGATGCAGTGTTGAGAGTCTATGGTGCAGTGCTGAGTCTATGGTGCAGTGTTGAGTCTATGGTGCAGTGTTGAGTCTATGGTGCAGTGTTGAGTCTATGGTGCAGTGCTGAGTCTATGGTGCAGTGCTGAGTCTATGGTGCAGTGTTGAGTCTATGGTGCAGTGTTGAGTCTATGGTGCAGTGTTGAGTCTATGGTGCAGTGTTGAGTCTATGGTGCAGTGCTGAGTCTATGGTGCAGTGTTGAGTCTATGGGTAGTGTTGAGTCTATGGTGCAGTGTTGGGTCTATGGTGCAGTGTTGGGTCTATGGTGCAGTGTTGAGTCTATGATGCAGTGTTGGGTCTATGGTGCAGTGCTGAGTCTACGGTGCAGTGTTGAGAGTCTATGGTATAGTGTTGAGTCTATGGTGCAGTGTTGAGTCTATGGTGTAGTGTTGAGAGTCTATGGTGCAGTGTTGAGTCTATGGTGCAGTGCTGAGAGTCTATGGTATAGTGTTGAGTCTTTGGTTTAGTGCTGAGTCTATGCCCTATCCACTACCATCTCTCCGAGCGAGCCCCCCACTCTCACCACCTCCCCCCTACCCTGCCCCCCCCCCCCCCCCCCAGGGCTGTATGTCTGGGAGCTCTTCCCCGTGTCCGGAGGCTCCCCCAGCCAGCCCCGGCTGATCGAGGAGGCGTGGGGGGTTCCGCCCCCCGTGGACGCGGCCTTCACGCGCATCAACTGCCAGGCGCTGTCCTACATCTTCAAGGTGCTCCCCACGTGCTCCCCACGTGCTCCCCACGTGCTCCCCACGTGCTCCCCCGAGTGCTTCCCGAGTGCTTCCCGCGTGCTTCCGGAGGTTGATCGATGCACACCCACCCCCGTCACCTCCGGGTGCGGTCAAGGGATGGGCTCCCTACTGCTCAACCACGTTAAGTATGCCGATGATTTGGTAATAGCGGCTCACTCAGAGGAGGAGTTGGAGACGCTGCTGCTGAGACTGGAGCGTGCCACTAAGAGGTGGGGCCTTACCATCAGCCCCACACCAAAACTGAGCACCTGCCTGGGTAGTTTGTGCCATCGGACACTCCACCCCCACAACTCCCAATCGGTGATGGGGCAGTTGTGGAGAGGGTGGAGAGTTTTCCATACCTGGGGCAGTGTGCTTATGACCGGCTCCAGTTTAACAGCAGAGGTCTCACTCCGAATCAGTCGAGCGGCAATATCTTTTCATCGGTTGCGTAACGCTGTGTGGAAGCTACCTGGTCTGTCGCTCCGCACTAAGCTTCAGGTCTTCTCGGCCACGGTCATTCCCTCCCTTCTCTACGCTTGCGAAACGTGGACCCCCCTAATGGAACATCTTCGCCGGTTAGAAACATTTAGGCTGGCCTGCCTACGATCCATCCTGGGTTTAACCAGACTGGATTGTGTGAGGAGCTCACAAATCCTTGAAAGATCTTGGCAGGGTCCCATCGGTGAGCTCCTCCGGCAGGCAAGGCTGCGTTGGCTGGGTCATGTAGCCCGCATGCCCAGCCACCGCATGCCGAAACAGCTTTTGTTCAGCCGGATTGAGGGGGCTAAGCGGGCGCGGCACGGGCTAGAGAAGAGATGGAGTGATGTGGTACAGGAGGACGTGGAGCTGAGTGGACTTGCCGATGAATGGTACCAGCGGTGTCAAGATCGGCCTCTGTGGAGGAGGCTCGTGAAGGATGCTACTGGGCAGTTGGAGGCAGTCGCCCTCCAACAACAACGGAGGGCGGAGGAGCGACGCTCAGAACAACGAGCGGAGCGCCGGGTGGCTAAAGCACAGCAGGTTGGCACAGTAGGGGGCACAGGTGGTGCATCAGCCACAGTCATCTCAGTCAGTCGACCCGTGGCACCTGGGTCTGCCCCGTGACCTCCTGCCAGCGGGCGTTCGACACTTCACGTGGCCTCAGGGTGCACATAGCCTGGCACAAGCGTCGTGGTGACGTCACCGCCACTTAGTGGCGAATGGCGGTTGTTGTTGTTGTCATTGTCTATGTGTGTGTGAGTGTCTGTGTGAGTGTGTGTGTGTCTTTGTCTGTGTGTGTGTCTGTCTGTGTGTGTGTGTCTGTGTCCGTGTGTGTGTCTTTCTCCGTGTGTGTCCGTGTGTGTCCGCTCCAGGGAGACAAGTACTGGCGCTTCACGGACGGGGTGCTCGACCGCGGCTTCCCACGGAGCCTCTCGCGGGGCTTCCCGCGGGTCCCCGCGGCCCCGGACGCGGCCTTCGCCGCTCCGCGCTCCGGACGGGCTCAGGAGCACGCATACTTCTTCAAGGGTGAGTCAGGAGGGGCTCAGGACGGGCTCAGGAGCACGCATACTTCTTCAAGGGTGAGTCAGGAGGGGCTCAGGACGGGCTCAGGAGCACGCATACTTCTTCAAGGGTGAGTCAGGAGGGGCTCAGGACGGGCTCAGGAGCACGCATACTTCTTCAAGGGTGAGTCAGGAGGGGCTCAGGACGGGCTCAGGAGCACGCATACTTCTTCAAGGGTGAGTCAGGAGGGGCTCAGGACGGGCTCAGGAGCACGCATACTTCTTCAAGGGTGAGTCAGGAGGGGCTCAGGACGGGCTCAGGAGCACGCATACTTCTTCAAGGGTGAGTCAGGAGGGGCTCAGGACGGGCTCAGGAGCACGCATACTTCTTCAAGGGTGAGTCAGGAGGGGCTCAGGACGGGCTCAGGAGCACGCATACTTCTTCAAGGGTGAGTCAGGAGGGGCTCAGGACGGGCTCAGGAGCACGCATACTTCTTCAAGGGTGAGTCAGGAGGGGCTCAGGACGGGCTCAGGAGCACGCATACTTCTTCAAGGGTGAGTCAGGAGGGGCTCAGGACGGGCTCAGGAGCACGCATACTTCTTCAAGGGTGAGTCAGGAGGGGCTCAGGACGGGCTCAGGAGCACGCATACTTCTTCAAGGGTGAGTCAGGAGGGGCTCAGGACGGGCTCAGGAGCACGCATACTTCTTCAAGGGTGAGTCAGGAGGGGCTCAGGACGGGCTCAGGAGCACGCATACTTCTTCAAGGGTGAGTCAGGAGGGGCTCAGGACGGGCTCAGGAGCACGCATACTTCTTCAAGGGTGAGTCAGGAGGGGCTCAGGACGGGCTCAGGAGCACGCATACTTCTTCAAGGGTGAGTCAGGAGGGGCTCAGGACGGGCTCAGGAGCACGCATACTTCTTCAAGGGTGAGTCAGGAGGGGCTCAGGACGGGCTCAGGAGCACGCATACTTCTTCAAGGGTGAGTCAGGAGGGGCTCAGGACGGGCTCAGGAGCACGCATACTTCTTCAAGGGTGAGTCAGGAGGGGCTCAGGACGGGCTCAGGAGCACGCATACTTCTTCAAGGGTGAGTCAGGAGGGGCTCAGGACGGGCTCAGGAGCACGCATACTTCTTCAAGGGTGAGTCAGGAGGGGCTCAGGTCGGGCTCAGGAGCACGCATACTTCTTCAAGGGTGAGTCAGGAGGGGCTCCGGACGGGCTCAGGAGCACGCATACTTCTTCAAGGGTGAGTCAGGAGGGCGCGCAGGACGGGCTCAGGAGCACGCATACTTCTTCAAGGGTGAGTCAGGAGGGGCTCAGGACGGGCTCAGGAGCACGCATACTTCTTCAAGGGTGAGTCAGGAGGGGCTCAGGACGGGCTCAGGAGCACGCATACTTCTTCAAGGGTGAGTCAGGAGGGGCTCAGGACGGGCTCAGGAGCACGCATACTTCTTCAAGGGTGAGTCAGGAGGGGCTCCGGACGGGCTCAGGAGCACGCATACTTCTTCAAGGGTGAGTCAGGAGGGGCTCCGGACGGGCTCAGGAGCACGCATACTTCTTCAAGGGTGAGTCAGGAGGGGCTCAGGACGGGCTCAGGAGCACGCATACTTCTTCAAGGGTGAGTCAGGAGGGCGCGCAGGACGGGCTCAGGAGCACGCATACTTCTTCAAGGGTGAGTCAGGAGGGGCTCAGGACGGGCTCAGGAGCACGCATACTTCTTCAAGGGTGAGTCAGGAGGGGCTCAGGACGGGCTCAGGAGCACGCATACTTCTTCAAGGGTGAGTCAGGAGGGGCTCCGGACGGGCTCAGGAGCACGCATACTTCTTCAAGGGTGAGTCAGGAGGGGCTCCGGACGGGCTCAGGAGCACGCATACTTCTTCAAGGGTGAGTCAGGAGGGGCTCAGGACGGGCTCAGGAGCACGCATACTTCTTCAAGGGTGAGTCAGGAGGGGCTCAGGACGGGCTCAGGAGCACGCATACTTCTTCAAGGGTGAGTCAGGAGGGGCTCCGGACGGGCTCAGGAGCACGCATACTTCTTCAAGGGTGAGTCAGGAGGGGCTCCGGACGGGCTCAGGAGCACGCATACTTCTTCAAGGGTGAGTCAGGAGGGGCTCAGGACGGGCTCAGGAGCACGCATACTTCTTCAAGGGTGAGTCAGGAGGGGCTCAGGACGGGCTCAGGAGCACGCATACTTCTTCAAGGGTGAGTCAGGAGGGGCTCAGGACGGGCTCAGGAGCACGCATACTTCTTCAAGGGTGAGTCAGGAGGGGCTCAGGACGGGCTCAGGAGCACGCATACTTCTTCAAGGGTGAGTCAGGAGGGGCTCAGGACGGGCTCAGGAGCACGCATACTTCTTCAAGGGTGAGTCAGGAGGGGCTCAGGACGGGCTCAGGAGCACGCATACTTCTTCAAGGGTGAGTCAGGAGGGGCTCAGGACGGGCTCAGGAGCACGCATACTTCTTCAAGGGTGAGTCAGGAGGGGCTCAGGACGGGCTCAGGAGCACGCATACTTCTTCAAGGGTGAGTCAGGAGGGGCTCAGGACGGGCTCAGGAGCACGCATACTTCTTCAAGGGTGAGTCAGGAGGGGCTCAGGACGGGCTCAGGAGCACGCATACTTCTTCAAGGGTGAGTCAGGAGGGGCTCAGGACGGGCTCAGGAGCACGCATACTTCTTCAAGGGTGAGTCAGGAGGGGCTCAGGACGGGCTCAGGAGCACGCATACTTCTTCAAGGGTGAGTCAGGAGGGGCTCAGGACGGGCTCAGGAGCACGCATACTTCTTCAAGGGTGAGTCAGGAGGGGCTCAGGACGGGCTCAGGAGCACGCATACTTCTTCAAGGGTGAGTCAGGAGGGGCTCAGGACGGGCTCAGGAGCACGCATACTTCTTCAAGGGTGAGTCAGGAGGGGCTCAGGACGGGCTCAGGAGCACGCATACTTCTTCAAGGGTGAGTCAGGAGGGGCTCAGGACGGGCTCAGGAGCACGCATACTTCTTCAAGGGTGAGTCAGGAGGGGCTCAGGACGGGCTCAGGAGCACGCATACTTCTTCAAGGGTGAGTCAGGAGGGGCTCAGGACGGGCTCAGGAGCACGCATACTTCTTCAAGGGTGAGTCAGGAGGGGCTCAGGACGGGCTCAGGAGCACGCATACTTCTTCAAGGGTGAGTCAGGAGGGGCTCAGGACGGGCTCAGGAGCACGCATACTTCTTCAAGGGTGAGTCAGGAGGGGCTCAGGACGGGCTCAGGAGCACGCATACTTCTTCAAGGGTGAGTCAGGAGGGGCTCAGGACGGGCTCAGGAGCACGCATACTTCTTCAAGGGTGAGTCAGGAGGGGCTCAGGACGGGCTCAGGAGCACGCATACTTCTTCAAGGGTGAGTCAGGAGGGGCTCAGGACGGGCTCAGGAGCACGCATACTTCTTCAAGGGTGAGTCAGGAGGGGCTCAGGACGGGCTCAGGAGCACGCATACTTCTTCAAGGGTGAGTCAGGAGGGGCTCAGGACGGGCTCAGGAGCACGCATACTTCTTCAAGGGTGAGTCAGGAGGGGCTCAGGACGGGCTCAGGAGCACGCATACTTCTTCAAGGGTGAGTCAGGAGGGGCTCAGGACGGGCTCAGGAGCACGCATACTTCTTCAAGGGTGAGTCAGGAGGGGCTCAGGACGGGCTCAGGAGCACGCATACTTCTTCAAGGGTGAGTCAGGAGGGGCTCAGGACGGGCTCAGGAGCACGCATACTTCTTCAAGGGTGAGTCAGGAGGGGCTCAGGACGGGCTCAGGAGCACGCATACTTCTTCAAGGGTGAGTCAGGAGGGGCTCAGGACGGGCTCAGGAGCACGCATACTTCTTCAAGGGTGAGTCAGGAGGGGCTCAGGACGGGCTCAGGAGCACGCATACTTCTTCAAGGGTGAGTCAGGAGGGGCTCAGGACGGGCTCAGGAGCACGCATACTTCTTCAAGGGTGAGTCAGGAGGGGCTCAGGACGGGCTCAGGAGCACGCATACTTCTTCAAGGGTGAGTCAGGAGGGGCTCAGGACGGGCTCAGGAGCACGCATACTTCTTCAAGGGTGAGTCAGGAGGGGCTCAGGACGGGCTCAGGAGCACGCATACTTCTTCAAGGGTGAGTCAGGAGGGGCTCAGGACGGGCTCAGGAGCACGCATACTTCTTCAAGGGTGAGTCAGGAGGGGCTCAGGACGGGCTCAGGAGCACGCATACTTCTTCAAGGGTGAGTCAGGAGGGGCTCAGGACGGGCTCAGGAGCACGCATACTTCTTCAAGGGTGAGTCAGGAGGGGCTCAGGACGGGCTCAGGAGCACGCATACTTCTTCAAGGGTGAGTCAGGAGGGGCTCAGGACGGCTCAGGAGCACGCATACTTCTTCAAGGGTGAGTCAGGAGGGGCTCCGGACGGGCTCAGGAGCACGCATACTTCTTCAAGGGTGAGTCAGGAGGGGCTCAGGACGGGCTCAGGAGCACGCATACTTCTTCAAGGGTGAGTCAGGAGGGGCTCAGGACGGGCTCAGGAGCACGCATACTTCTTCAAGGGTGAGTCAGGAGGGGCTCAGGACGGGCTCAGGAGCACGCATACTTCTTCAAGGGTGAGTCAGGAGGGGCTCAGGACGGGCTCAGGAGCACGCATACTTCTTCAAGGGTGAGTCAGGAGGGCGCGCAGGGCCCCTGGCGAGATCACCCGCCGAGATCATCACCCGCCTAGAACATGCCTAGAACATGCCTAGACACCGCCTAGACACCGCCTAGAACATGCCTAGAACATGCCTAGAACATGCCTAGACACAGCCTAGAACATGCCTAGACACCGCCTAGACACCGCCTAGACACAGCCTAGAACATGCCTAGAACATGCCTAGAACATGCCTAGATCACCCGCCTAGAACATCACCCGCCTAGAACATGCCTAGACACCGCCTAGAACATGCCTAGATCACCCGCCTAGAACATGCCTAGAACATGCCTAGATCTCCCGCCTAGACACCGCCTAGACACCGCCTAGACACAGCCTAGAACATGCCTAGACACCCACCTAGACACCGCCTAGAACATGCCTAGATCACCCGCCTAGACACCGCCTAGATCACCCGCCTAGATCACCCGCCTAGAACATGCCTAGACACAGCCTAGAATATGCCTAGAACATGCCTAGACACAGCCTAGAATATGCCTAGAATATGCCTAGAATATGGCTAGAACATGCCTAGACCCTACCTAGACCCCACCTAGACACCGCCTAGACCCCGCCTAGACCCTACCTAGACCCCACCTAGACCCTACCTAGACCCTACCTAGACCCCACCTAGACCCTACCTAGACCCCACCTAGACCCTACCTAGACCCTACCTAGACCCTACCTAGACCCTACCTAGACCCCACCTAGACCCTACCTAGACCCTACCTAGACCCTACTTAGACCCCACCTAGACCCTACCTAGACCCCACCTAGACCCTACCTAGACCCCACCTAGACCCTAGATAGACCCCGCCTAGACCCCGCCTAGACCCTACCTAGACCCTACCTAGACCCTACCTAGACCCTACCAAGACCCCACCTAGACCCTACCTAGACCCCACCTAGACCCCACCTAGACCCGACCTAGACCCCACCTAGACCCTACCTAGACCCTACCTAGACCCCACCTAGACCCTCGATAGACCCCGCCTAGACCCTACCTAGACCCTACCTAGACCCCACCTAGACCCTAGATAGACCCCGCCTAGACCCTACCTAGACCCTACCTAGACCCCACCTAGACACCGCCTAGACCCTGCCTAGACCCTACCTAGACCCCACCTAGACACCGCCTAGACCCTACCTAGACCCTACCTAGACCCCGCCTAGACCCCACCTAGACCCTATATATCTCTCTATGTATCTCTCTCTATATCTCTATATATCTCTCTATATCTCTCTATCTATCTCTCTATATCTCTCTCTATATCTCTCTATATATCTATGTATCTCCACACATGGGGGCAGTACTACAAGTACGTGTTACTCTCTGTGTGTATGTCTCTCTATCTCTATATCTCTCTATATATCTCTATATATCTCTACATATCTCTATATATAAAAATCTCTACACAGGGGGGCAGTACTACAAGTACGTGTTACTCTCTGTGTGTATATCTCTCTATATATCTCTCTCTATATCTCTCTCTATATCTCCACACAGGGGGCAGTACTACAAGTACGTATTACTCTGTGTGTGTATCTCTCTCTATCTCTATATCTCTCTATATATCTCTATATATCTCTCTATCTCTCTCTATATCTCTATATCTCTCTCTATGTATCTCCACACAGGGGGGCAGTACTACAAGTACGTGTTACTGTGTGTATATCTCTCTCTATCTCTCTCTATATCTCTATATATATATCTCTCTATATATCTCTCTATATCTATCTCGCTATATATCTCTCCACACAGGGGGGCAGTACTATAAGTACGTGTTACTGTGTGTATATCTCTCTATATATTTCTCTACACAGGGGGGCAGTACTACAAGTACACGTTCCTGTGTGTATATCTCTCTCTCTCTATCTCTCTATATCTCTCATCTATATCTCTCATCTATATCTCTCTATATCTCTCTCTATATCTATCTCTATCTCTCTATATCTCTCTATATATCTCTCTATATATCTCTCTATATCTCTATCTCTCTCTATCTCTATATATCTCTCTACACGGGGGCAGTACTATAAGTACGTGTTACTGTGTGTATATCTCTCTATGTATCTCTCTATATCTCTATATATCTCTCTATATATCTGTCTATATCTCTCTATATATCTCTCTATATCTCTATATATATCTATGTATCTATATATCTCTCTACACAGGGGGGCAGTACTAGAAGTACGTGTTACTGTGTGTATATCTCTCTATCTCTATATCTTTATATCTCTCTATATATCTCTCTATATATCTCTATATATCTCTCTACACAGGGGGGCAGTACTACAAGTACACGTTCCTGTGTGTATATCTCTCTATATATCTCTCTATATATCTCTCTATATCTCTATATATCTCTATGTCTCTATCTATATATCTCTCTATATATCTCTCTATATCTCTATATATCTCAATCTCTCTATATATCTCTCTATATCTCTCTCTACACAGTGGGGCAGTACTACAAGTACACGTTACTGTGTGTATATCTCACTATATCTCTCTCTATATCTCTATATCTCTCTATATCTCTCTGTATATCTCTCTATATATCTCTATATCTATATATCTCTCCACACAGGGGGGCAGTACTACAAGTACACGTTCCTGTGTGTATATCTCTCTATATATCTCTATATCTCTGTATCTCTATATATATATATCTCTCTCTATCTCTATATATCTCTCTACACAGGGGGGCAGTACTACAAGTACACGTTACTGTGTGTATATCTCTCTATATATCTCTCTCTATATATCTCTCTCTATATCTCTCTCTATATCTCTCTCTGTATCTCTCTATATCTCTCTATATATCTCTATATCTCTCTATATATCTCTCTACACAGGGGGGCAGTACTACAAGTACACGTTCCTGTGTGTATATCTCTCTATATATCTCTCTATATCTCTCTATATCTCTCTATCTCTATATCTCTCTACACAGGGGGGCAGTACTACAAGTACACGTTACTGTGTGTATATCTCTATATCTCTATATATCTCTCTGTATATCTCTCTATATCTCTCTATATATCTCTCTACACAGGGGGGCAGTACTACAAGTACGTGTTACTGTATGTATATCTCTCTATATATCTCTCTATATATCTCTATATCTATCTATATATCTCTCTACACAGGGGGGCAGTACTACAAGTACACGTTACTGTGTGTATATCTCTCTATATATATCTCTCTATATCTCTATATATATATCTCTCTATGTCTCTATCTATATCTCTCTCTATCTCTATATATCTCTCTATATCTCTCTATATATATCTCTCTACACAGGGGGGCAGTACTACAAGTACACGTTACTGTGTGTATATCTCTCTATATATCTCTCTCTATATCTCTATATATATCTCTATGTCTCTATCTATATCTCTCTCTATCTCTCTATATATCTCTCTATATCTCTCTATCTATATATCTCTCTACACAGGAGGGCAGTACTATAAGTACACGTTACTGTGTGTATATCTCTCTATATATCTCTCTCTATCTATCTATCTATATATCTCTCTATATCTCTCTATATCTCTCTATATCTCTCTACACAGGGGGGCAGTACTACAAGTACACGTTACTGTGTGTATATCTCTCTATATATCTCTCTCTATATATCTCTATATATCTCTCTACACAGGGGGGCAGTACTACAAGTACACGTTCCTGTGTGTATATCTCTCTATATATCTCTCTCTATATCTCTCTATATCTCTCTATATATCTATGTATCTCTATATCTCTCTACACAGGGGGGCAGTACTACAAGTACGTGTTACTGTGTGTATATCTCTCTATATATCTCTCTCTATATCTCTCTATATATATCTATGTATCTCTACACAGGGGGGCAGTACTACAAGTACACGTTCCTGTGTGTATATCTCTCTATATCTCTATATATCTCTCTATATATCTCTCTATATCTCTCTATATCTCTCTCTATATCTCTCTATATCTCTCTATATCTCTATATATCTCTCTATATATCTCTCTCTATATCTCTCTATATATATCTATATGTATCTCTACACAGGGGGGCAGTACTACAAGTACACGTTCCGCCAGCAGCTGACCTCTCGCGAGTGCCGGCGTCTCCCTCGTTCGCGAGCCCCCCACTCGGGGCACTCGCACGGAGCCCCCCACTCGGGGCACTCGCACGGAGCCCCCCGCTCGGGGCACTCGCACGGAGCCCCCTACGGCTGGGACGCCTTCATGAGCCGCTTCTTCTCGGCCAGACACGGTGTGTGTGTGTGTGTACTGTGTGTGTGTGTACACACACTGTGTACACACACACACACTGTGTACACAGTGTGTGTGTGTGTGTGTACTGTGTGTGTGTACACACACAGTGTGTGTGTACACACACACTGTGTGTGTACACTGTGTGTGTGTGTACACTGTGTGTGTACACTGTGTGTGTGTGTGTACACGGTGTGTGTGTACACTGTGTGTGTGTACAATGTGTGTGTGTACAATGTGTGTGTGTACACACTGTGTACACACACACACTGTGTGTACACTGTGTGTGTGTGTACACACTGTGTACACACACACACTGTGTACACAGTGTGTGTGTGTACTGTGTGTGTGTACACTGTGTGTGTGTACAATGTGTGTGTACACTGTGTGTGTGTGTACACACTGTGTACACACACACACATTGTGTACACAGTGGGTGTGTGTACTGTGTGTGTGTACACTGTGTGTGTGTACAATGTGTGTGTACACACTGTGTACACTGTGTGTACATTGTGTGTGTGTGTGTACTGTGTGTGTGTACATTGTGTGTGTGTACATTGTGTGTGTGTGTACTGTGTGTGTGTACACTGTGTGTGTACACTGTGTGTGTGTATACTGTGTGTGTGTACACACAGTGTGTGTACGTACACTGTGTGTGTACACACACACTGTGTGTACACTGTGTGTACATTGTGTGTGTGTGTGTACTGTGTGTGTGTACACTGTGTGTGTGTACACAGTGTGTGTGTGTACACTGTGTGTGTGTACACTGTGTGTACATTGTGTGTACATTGTGTGTGTGTGTGTGTACACACTGTGTGTGTGTACACTGTGTGTGTACATTGTGTGTGTGTACACTGTGTGTACACTGTGTGTGTGTACTGTGTGTGTGTGTACATTGTGTGTGTGTACATTGTGTGTGTGTACACTGTGTGCGTGTGTGTACACTGTGTGTGTGTACACTGCATGTACACTATGTGTACACTATGTGTGTGTGTACACTGTGTGTGTGTGTACACTGTGTGTGTGTGTACATTGGTTGTGTGTACACTGTGTGTGTACATTGTGTGTGTACATTGTGTGTACATTGGTTGTGTGTACACTGTGTGTGTACATTGTGTGTGTACATTGTGTGTACATTGTGTGTGTGTACATTGTGTGTGTGTACACTGTGTGTGTACACTGTGTGTACATTGTGTGTACACTGTGTGTGTGTGTGTACATTGTGTGTGTGTACACTGTGTGTGTACACTGTGTGTACATTGTGTGTACACTGTGTGTGTGTGTGTGTGTACATTGTGTGTGTGTACATTGTGTGTGTGTACTGTGTGTGTGTACACTGTGTGTGTGTTGGTCATGATGCTGGCACCTGGTCTGGAGTGATTGGAGGGCATGGGTCAGGTCAGCTCAATAACAACGGTAGGAGGCTGCTAGATTTTTGTGCAACCCATGGGCTTGTAATTACCAACACGCTGTTCCGGCATCGGCACATCCACACAACATCATGGATGCATGCCGGGTCCAAGCAAGAGCATCTGCTGGACTACATAGTGACGGACCAGCGGATGCGAGCCCATGTCCTTGACACCAGGACCTACCGTGGAGCTGATCTGCCCTCTGACCATCGACTGGTCATCTGTAAGATGCGCCTGCCATTCTTCAACTCCAGTGGTGGGTGTACACCCAGGACCAAATTCCAACCTAAAGTGGCCTGGTTTCAGTTAGCAAGCGAGAATTTCATCATCGCTTGCGGCTGGGGTTGGCATCGTCCCCCACTCCTCCTGATGTCGAGGGTAAATGGGCAAGGTTTAGGACTGTGACTCATGCAGCTGCAATGGCTGCTTTGGGTACGCGGTCCAGACCTCCCCAGAGACCCTGGCTGACAGAGGAGGTGTTCAAGCTGCCTGAAAAAAAGCGACAGACCCACTCTCATCGTCTAGAGCATCCCACGTCAGAGGATGAGGAGGCTTACCGCAGCCTTCGCTCGGAGGTTCGGAGAGCCGTGAGGCGCTGCAAGGATGGGTGGTGGTCGCGGGTTGCTGAAGAGATGGAGTCTGCCTCAATGGCCCGCGATCACAAATCTCCATCAAAACGTAACCTGCAGCACCACACCTATTACCATCATTAGGGGAAAGAAGGGTGATCCATTCTCGACCCCCAGGAACAGGTTTTCAGATTTGCTGAGCATTTCTGTGAGGTCCTGGGGGAGGGAAAATCCCTCAGCCAAGAAAACATCGTGGGACAAAGTGGGGATGGACCTGCTGAGGCTGCGTTGCCTCAAATATTGGAAGAAGTCACCCCCTGTGAGTGGCTGGCTGAGGTGCCATCTGTTGAGGAAATACTGAAGGCGATCCAGAGCCTGAGACCAGAAAAGGCACCGGGCAGAGATTATCTCCCAAGTGAAATGCTGAGGGAGGGTGGCGTTTGTGCACAGACTGTCCTATATGACATCATAACAACAGTCTGGGCCACTGGATGGGTTCTGCAGGATTGGAAGTATGCCCTGGTGGTCCCCCTCTCTAAGAAGGGGGACCACACAGACTGTAACAACTACAGGGGCATATCACTCCTCAGTGTGCCGGGAAAGGTCCTGGCAAGGATTATTCAACATTGCCTTGCCAGGCACGCTGAGGAGAGGCTTGCGGAGCCCCAATGCGGTTTCAGGAAAGGGCAGTCCAGCACAGATGCCATATTTTCTGTCTGTCTGCTACAGCATTGGTGTAGTGAATTCCAACAAGACCTCCATCTCTGCTTTATTGACCTGGTCAAGGCCTATGATACCATCAATAGGCCTGGGGTCTGGGTTGTTCTTCGTGCTTTTGGAGTCCCTGACCCGCTGCTCACGATCATTAAGGACCTTCATGATGGTGAGCGGGCCTGGATAAAACTACGTGGCCAGGAGTCGGAGCCATTCCCTGTACACCTTGGGGTGTGACAGGGATGTCTTCTGGCTCGCACATTATTTAACATCTATTTTGACCACGTAGTTCGTGAAGCCTTCAATAGCTGTACTCGAGGAATTTCCATCTGGTACAGATACAATGGGAGGCTGATCGATGCCCGGGTGTGGTCAAGGGATGGCTCCCTATTGCTCAACCACGTTATGTATGCCGATGATCTGGTAATTTCTGCTCACTCAAGAGGAGTTGGAGACGCTGCTGCTGAGACTGGAGCGTGCCACTAAGAGGTGGGGCCTTACCATCAGCCCCACCAAAACTAATCGGACACTCCACCCTCACAACTCCCAATTGGTGATAGGGCATTTTTGGAGAGAGTGGAGAGTTTTCCATATCTGGGCAGTGTGCTTATGACCGGCTCCAGTTTAACAACAGAGGTCTCACTCTGAATCAGTCGAGCGGCAATATCTTTTCATCGGTTGCGTAACGCTGTGTGGAAGCTACCTGGTCTGCTGCTCCGCACGAAGCTTCAGGTCATCTCGGTCACTATCATTCCCTCCCTTCTCTACGCTTGCGAAACGTGGACCCCCCTAATGGAACATCTTCGCCGGTTAGAAATATTTAGGCTGGCCTGCCTACGATCCATTCTGGGTTTAACCAGACTGGATTGTGTGATGAGCTCACAAATCCTTGAAAATCTGGGCAAGGTCCCATCTGTGAGCTCCTCCGGCGGGCAAGGCTGCGTTGGCTGGGCCATGTAGCCCGCATGCCCAGCCACCGCATGCCGAAACAGCTTTTGTTCGGCTGTATTGAGGGGGCTAAACGGGCGCGGCACGGGCTAGAGAAGAGATGGAGTGATGTGGTAGAGGAGGACGTGCGTGGAGCTGAGTGGACTTGCTGATGACTAGTACCAGCGGTGTCCAGATAGGTCTCTGTGGATGAGTAGGCTCGTGAAGGACGCCGCTACTGGGCAGTTGGAGGCAGTCGCCCTCCAACAACAACGGAGGGCGGAGGAGTGACGCTCACAACAACGAGCGGAGCGCCGGGTGGCTAAAGCACAGCAGGTTGGCACAGTAGGGGGCACAGGTGGTGCATCAGTCAGTCATCTCAGTCAGTCGACCCGTGGCACCTGGGTCTGCCCAGTGACCTCCTGCCAGCGGGCGTTCGACACTTCACGTGGCCTCAAGGTGCACATAGCCTGGCACAAGCGTCGTGGTGACGTCACCGCCACTTAGTGGCGAATGGCGGTTGTTGTTGCTGTAGTGTATAGTAGTGTCTATAGTAGTGTATAGTAGTGTCTATAGTAGTGTGTAGTAGTGAGTGTGTACACGTGTGTAGTGTGTGGGTGTACACGTGTGTAGTGTAGTGTGTGTGTGTAGTGTGTGTGTGTAGTGTGTGTAGTGTGTGTGTGTAGTGTGTGTAGTGTGTTTGTGTAGTGTGTAGTGTATAGTAGTGAGTGTGTAGTGTGTGTGTATAATAGTGTCTATAGTAGTGTATAGTAGTGTGTAGTGTAGTGTGTGTGTAGTGCGTGTGTAGTGTATAGTAGCGTGTGTAGTGTAGTGTGTAGTGTAGTGTGTGTATGTAGTGTAGTGTGTAGTGTATAGTAGTGAGTGTGTAGTGTAGTGTGTAGTGTGTGTGTAGTGTGTGTAGTGTAGTGTGTGTAGTGTGTGTGTAGTGTGTAGTGTGTGTGTAGTATGTGTGTGTAGTGTAGGGTGTGTAATGTAGTGTAGTGTGTGTAGTGTGTGTGTAGTGTGTGTAGTGTAGTGTGTGTGTAGTGTAGTGTGTGTGTAGTGTAGTGTGTAGTGTGTGTGTGTAGTGTGTGTGTAGTGTGTGTGTAGTGTGTGTGTGTAGTGTGTGTGTAGTGTAGTGAGTGTGTAGTGTGTGTGTAGTGTGTGTAGTGTGTGTGTGTAGTGTGTGTGTAGTGTAGTGTGTGTGTGTAGTGTGTGTGTGTAGTGTGTGTGTAGTGTAGTGTGTGTAGTGTGTGTGTAGTGTGTGTGTGTAGTGTAGTGTGTAGTGTAGTGTGTAGTGTAGTGTGTGTAGTGTAGTGTGTGTGTAGTGTAGTATGTGTAGTGTAGTGTGTGTGTAGTGTAGTGTGTAGTGTAGT